TTAGCTGTTAACAAATGGCTAAGAGGGTTATTGTCAGTATAGACAATACATTTGTGACCCAAAAGATATTCACGGAACTTTTTCGTCATGGCCCACTTGAGCGCCAAGAACTCCAACTTCATGGAGCTGTAGTTAACCATGTTGCGCTCAGTGGGCTTAAGACTGCGGCTGGCATACGCAATGGGTCGTACTCTCCCACCCTGCGCCTGGGAGAGGACTGCCCCCAAGCCACCATAACTAGTGTCTACCTCTAAAATAAAAGGCAGGGAGAAGTCAGTATATGCCAACACTGGAGCCGTCGTAAGCCTAACCTTGATGCTAAACGAGCAGCACGTAATACGAGCAGACACATACCTGACATGTAGTGGACAGCCTGCAACCCAACACAACGCATCAAATGGCCATTCCACGCGCATCTATACACGCGCACTCCATAGGTGCGGTCCCAGCAAGACAGGTTCTAATAGGCTATTGTGGATGACAACCACACGCCGATGAGGAAGGAGTCACCCACCTTACCACAATCTACCCCCAACTCTTGAATCGTCGCCCCGATGATTATTCCCATTTAACCTAATCCCAAGGCCTAAACAATGCGGATAAGGAACTGGATGAAGCCTCACCGGCTTCGACACTTGCCATCCTCCCTACTGCCTTAGGAAGACGATTGCGATTGGAATGATGGCCGGCGGTGGTTCGCCTTGTACGTCTCACTGCCCCACCACCGTAAGACCGACCTAAAGAACCAAGATCAGTCGAGGGTATGCCCTTTATTTTACTGGCGTCTACCTCTAAAATAAAGGGCAAGGAGAAGTCAGCGTATGCCAACACTGGAGCCGTCGTAAGCCTAACCTTCAATTCTTCAAAGCTCTGTTGGCACTGTTCTGACCAGGCATCAAGAAAGCTCTTACCAGCTCGCACCCGGGGCCTGGCATCAGCACACTCAGCCACCACTTGGTGCAGGGGAGCCGCCAACTTTGCAAAGCCCTGCACGAAATGACGATAGTAGCTGGCAAACCCTAGGAACGAGCGTAATTCAGATGCACTGGTGGGACGCCGCCACTGCGAAACTGCCTCAATCTTCCCGGGGTCACACCCTGAGCAGAGATCACATGTCCCAAATATTTCACCTCCTTTTGAAAGAACGCGCACTTCGCCAATTTGGCCTTCAAACCCTCATGCTCCAAGCGACCCAACACAACCTCCAACCGCTCAAGGTGTCTGGATGAAGCCTCACCGGCTTCGACACTTGCTATCCTCCCTACTGCCTTAGGAAGATGATTGCGGTTGGAATGATGGCCGGCGGTGGTTCGCCTTGTACGTCTCACTGCCCCACCACCGTAAGACTGACCTAAAGAACCAAGATCAGTCGAGGGTAATGTCCCAAATATTTCACCTCCTTTTGAAAGAACGCGCACTTCGCCAATTTGGCCTTCAAACCCTCATGCTCCAAGCGACCCAACACAACCTCCAACCGCTCAAGGTGTTGCGAAACGGAAGAGGAGAATACCACAATATCATCCAGGTACAACAGTAGCGAACTACCCTGTTGGTCCCCAAACATCCGTTCCATCAAACGCTGAAAGGTGCTTGGAGCTTTACACAGCCCAAAGGGCATACGGTTGAACTTGAATAGGCCAAATGGGGTACAGAACGCGGTCTTAGGTCTATCCTTTTCAAAGACGGGGACCTGGTTGTAACCACTAACCAAATCCATAGTGGAAAACCAACCGGCCCCCGTCAAGAAGTCTAAGGACTCCTCAATATGTGGGAGGGGAAAAGCATCCTTCCTTGTCTTTGCGTTTAGTTGACGGTAGTCAACACACATGCGTAGACTACCATCCTTCTTCCTGGCAAGCACTATGGGTGACGCATACGGGCTACAACTCTCTCGGATTACGTTGGTCTCTAGTAGCTGGTTGATATGGGACTTAACAACCTCATATTCTGACGGCGGGATCCGCCTATACCTCTGACGTACAGGCACTGAATCCAACAACGGGATCTCACGTGAAATCAAATCTGTGCAGCCCAGATCACCATCGTGAGCCGAGAACACAGATTGGTATCGCCCTCCGCCTCCACCACAGGCTCCGGTGGGTTGGGGTCTACCGAGACCAGGCCCTGACTCCCCAACCCAATGGCAACAGGCCCAATCCCCGGTACGACCCTAAACAAGTCCACTTCCTCCGTGGAGGGAGGTTCCTCCAGTAATAACTCCTCCATAACTGGCAGCCTATCCTCTGGGGGAGGCACTGGGGAGTCCCCCCCTACTCTGGCCTTCAGCAACGAGCGGTGAACGTGCCTCACCTTATTCACCTCGTTAACCGGTGCGATGGTGTAAAAGGAACCTCCTGTTCCGGGCGCCTTTACTACCTGGTACACCACCGAGCTCCAGTGGTCCTGAATCTTGTGACGACCCTTTAGGCCATAGTTACGAAGGTAAACTAACTGGCCTTCGCCCAGGGGTGCACCCCGTACGTGGAAGTCATGCCTCTCCTTACGGCGTTCCGCTGCTATACGCAGCTGTTCCCGAGCCCCCTCAAAGGCCACCTGCAGTCTCGTCTGATGCTGAAGATTGTGCAGCGTCCGGTTAAAACGCTCACACTGTCCGTTGCCTGCAGGGTGCCATGGGGTAGTGCGAGACTTCTCCACCTGGTACAAGCTACATAGCCCGCCAGATGGCAATATTGTAATGCCTGTAACACGAATTTTGGAGCCTCCACAAAAGAGGGAGAATCAAACAAGCCAGGGCCATACTGTCCAAAGAGCTCCTGGTAGCATCGACTAAGGACATTCATTCCCAGCACTCCGGGAATTTGAGTACTGATGTCCCCAGGAGGATCCCTGACCACCAAGACCCCACACTTAGGAATCAATTGGTTACACATGTCAATATCCAATTCCACGTAGCCAATGTAGGGAATTAACAAGCCATTGGCTGCACGAAGTTGGAGCCAATGGCACGATTTTAAACGATCTACGCCCCATGACTGGAAATGCATTTGGAAGCAGCTTTCAGTAATTGTGGACACCATGGACCCAGTGTCAACCAAACAAGGCACTTGGACGCTACCGATACGAACAAGCAGATGTGGGCATGAAGACATTAAATGAGATAAAGCAGTACTCGAGCCGTCCTCCTCCCCAACCGCGCTTTGGCTCTGCAGCGCGGTGGGGACTAGTTTCCCGACAACGCAGGTGATCAGGCTGTCCACTAACAATTCGCGATGAAGCATCTGATGAGAAGCGGGTAGATACACGCTCCCCATCGCACTCCCTAGCAAAGTGACCCGGTTTCTGACATCTTTAGCACACAATCTGGTTACGACGAGGGGATCGACTATGGGGCTGAGGGGCCTGTAAACGGGCGATACTTTGAGTCAGCGTACTTATTTGTTCCTGCTGCAACCTCAACATTTCTTTGACTTCTCCCAACTCAGACTCCCGAGATGACCTCACGGTATTCTCACGAGGTTCACCCCGCACCCCATACTGAATGCCATATGCAGAAGGAAGCGAATGACTACGACCCCTTGAACTCCCTGGCATACCCTCCCGTTCCCACCGAAGCGATTCACCCCGTACGTCTAAGAGGGTCAGAGCGGGTTGGCCTCGTACCAATTGTTTGAGCTCTCGTTGAAGAGCACTGTCATTAACATGCTCGATAAATTGGTCGCACAACAAAACTTGAGAATTGGGCATGGCATAGGGTGACTTTTGCTTCACTTGCTCCAGGAGGCCAAACAAAGCAAGGGAGAACTCCAACAAAGGCTCCCCTTCTTGCTGCCTCCTAGAGAAGAAAGCCTCCTGCAAAGATACCATACAACTCCTTTAGCACCGAAATAATTTTTGCTGGATCGTTACGTTCATCATCTGAACGATAGCGAATCTCCTCTCTTGCTTCTCCCTCCAAATGGTCAAAGAGGAAGAATGCTTTATCGGACGCAGACATATGACGGGCCTGCATACAAGCCTGAGCCTCCTCGATCCACTCCCCAATATTAAGACTAGACCTGCCACTAAATTTTGGACACTTTCGGTCTCGTGGTACAAAAATGTATCTCTCTGGCAGGGCAGCATACTCATTACTTGACTGTGAAGTGGAAGGAGGGGGCCCAAGAGCTACGGAAGGCGGCCCACTAGGACCCGGATGAGCAGATAATTGCTCTTGCCGTAACCGTTCGTTGTCTGCCCTCAGCTGAGTTACCATCTCCCTTAATTCTCGCAGTTCTTCCTCCATACTTAACCACAAATCTCACTTACCACAAGAGAAGGACACATCGGCACATTCTCGTCTCAATGTTTCACCACAAAACTCGGTCCTACAAAAGACCACAAACAGGAAGAAAAACAAACAAGCTACCAAACATTAGTACACGGAGCAACCCAAATACACATGTACATGTATCCACGTCTCTCCAAAAAAGAAAAGCGTATCCTGCCGACTACGCCAAATGTGGCAATGCTGAGGGGAGGGGGAGGAGAGGTAATGTACGACTACGTCAGAACACCCCTAAACCAAAAGAAAACCGACTAAGCCACCCCGTAAAGAAACGGGGAAATAACCACCCAAATCAGGGACACAGGTTCGTAGGCTAAGTAAAACCCAAAGAGACGTGTAAACAATGTACAAACGCTTTATTCAAATTGTCACAACAAATTATTAAAACACTCAAGGGCATCAATGTCACGTGTCGGATCACAATTAAACACCATATATCGGCAGCTCTGTATACTACACCAGATAAAGAAACAATTTAAACATACTCACAAAGGAAAACAACCAAATAAACAGGCACAGGCTTTCCAGCAGCAAAGGCAGGCTAGCTGAAGCGAAGATCCTATCTGTACGCTAGTGCATCCCACGCACACACTCACACCCACTCACACAGAGTAAAACGTGAATCCAAACAACACTGCACTCCACACGATTGTACCATCACCAGTACTCACTACCAGCTAGCCTCCCAGCCTCGGGCCCTACAGTGCCTAAAACAAACACAAAAGTAAATTTTACATTCCATAACACAATAAAAGTACATCCATCAACTTAAACCAAAAAGAAAACAATATGTATAAAGAAATAATATCACAATGTTATATTTACAACAAACAAACAGGAAACAAAATATATAGAGCAGGAAAATAACACAATGTTATTTAAATTAAACAAAAGAAAGAAAAGAAACAAAAGGAAGCACAAAAGACGACAAAATAACAAAAGAAAACAGCAGCGCCGTCCTCCTTTAACGCCGAGTGTAGACACTTCCGCCTTCTCCCGCGACTAACCAGCGCAGCGTCAGAGACAAACCTCAGTGCACTAAAAGAAAGGGGCGATTACTAAAATATCACTTTTCCTGTGAACAAGAGAAAACAGATCGCACCTACCGAAACGGATCGTTGTGCCGCACGAATTATACCGTTGCTCTCAACTCATAACAATCATAGAAGCTCATGCAGGAAGACACCTTCACCGAAGAATTTCACAGCTAAGTAGTAAATAAGCACCGGTTAACATCACCCGATGCTAAACGAGCAGCACATAATACGAGCAGACACATACCTGACATGTAGTGGACAGCCTGCAACCCAACACAACGCATCAAATGGCCATTCCACGCGCATCTATACACGCGCACTCCATAGGTGCGGTCCCAGCAGTGACGTACACCAGGTGGCATAACTCCAGCCTTAAATACCCGGAACGACAGGTTCTAATAGGCTATTGTGGATGACAACCACACGCCAATGAGGAAGGATTACGTCACCCACCTTACCACAATCAGTATAAAAAAAGACTTGTATTTTACCAAACCATTCTGCTTCAAATTCTAGTTTTTTTTTTTTTTTTTACATAAGCAAAGTAAGATACAAATAAATAAATTAATAAAAACTAACTCAAAATGTTAATGTAGTATGCTGTCTGTAAATGTGGCTCGATTAACTGATGTTAAACAGTGGAGCTGTGTATCATTGCCTTTTGAACTGCTGGGACGTTTGGCTGTGGCTGTTCCAAAGGTCTGTACAGTACAGCTGACGGATGCCGGCTCGATCCACTCGGGTCTAATTGTCTGTTTTCTGGAAGCTGAAGTTATCGGCAGCTGCCACACGCTCAAACACTGAGGCACCACCCCGGCACAGCTAACCAGAGCAGACTAATTGCAATGGCCTTTTCATCATCTCGAATCAACCACTTTTCTGCACACACAGGGGAAGAGGTGCCCATAAACACACAATCACACACACACATTCTCTCCACTTCTCACAGATGGACACGTACAGACAGTAGTATGGTCTGTATCACTCTCAAGGCAGCCTCGTCCAGCAGTCTAGAGGAGCATTTAGCAGAGAACCACGCTGACCTCCAGTGTACACCCCTACCTGCCAGCCTTAACCTGATTTCAGCAGCTGTTTAAGAGGGCAGGGAGGCACGGGTAGGGAGGGTTGAAGGTTCAGTGGTACTGGAGAGTCCTGGCAGCTGGCCGGTCTGTCTGACATTAGATCAATAGTGTCCGTACTTTGGGTGCAGTCGGGTTGACAGCAATCCACGTGCCATAATTGGACCAAAGCTGCAGCTAGGCCCATCCAGACTAGCCCCCTGTGCATCAACCGCCCCTCCCCCCCAGCACTGTCACATCTGTCATATGTCATCCCAAACCTCTAGTGTCTCCACAGGAGACTGGTCACTCCTTACGCTCATTTCCTTGGCTCTTTCTTTCATTTTCCTCTTTTTTCTTTTTTTGCTTTCTTTCCAGGAGTCATGCAAATGTCCACTTAAAGAGATGAATGCCAACCATATTAGGGTCGTTCTTCATGCTTTATGCAAAAGAAAGATCTGTGTCATCTGAGGATTTCACGGGAATAAAGTCACCGTTTATTTGCAGAGATGAAGCTGCCTGTAGAAAAAAAGAGATGATTTGGTTCAGCTTATTAAAACTGAGAGGAAGAATACACAACAAGCCTCTTGTGAAGAGTAACAAACAATAGATGAGCCATGGATGAGGTGACTATATATAAGCCAAAAGAAATGAATAATACCAAAATGTAAAATATGGCAGCTGAGAGGTCCCTCACCCTGTTTCCAATCTCAGAGATTTTTGTATCGGAGTCTTACAGAGGGACTTGCATATTTCTAGAGCAAATATTGACTGAAACCTTCGGTTGAATTTCAAATGAATGACTGCAAGATTTAATTCAAAGCCATGACTGAAATATTTGTCCAAAGCGGCAGCACTTGCCAAAGAGTGCGATAATTCCGCCTCTGCAGTATGGGAGGCCGAGCGTTGTATTCTTTCGTACAATTTCTACATCTCCTCACAGTTTAATCTAAAAAGGTAGACGGCATCTCCGATTTCAATGGATAGCCCTTTTGAAGCTTAAACAGTGAAAGTAAGGCTTAGGCACAATCCTATAAAGAGGGGAACTTTACTTTTTGAACAGATGAGCGAGATTTTTAGCCCAGCGAGACTAAAAGGTTTTCCTTCACTAACAGTTGGGAAGCTCCATGACTGTCATTTCTTTATCTGGGGAGCCAAAAAGCTTTTGGATTTTCATGCATCAAGCGACAGCGTGAGAGATTTTAAAATGTAATCACAGATGTACAAATGTTAGCACATTAAAAGAGAGAAGCTATTAGCAAACTTATCTATATGCACCAATTAGGAGAGGCTTGTTTGTGATGCAAATCATTTTAACTTTATTCTGCAAACCACATTAGGAATTCTCCTATATGTAGTCTATTTTCTTAAATGTAAAGATCTACACAACCCAGATAAGAGTCCACACACACACTGCCTATTAGAGACAAGAAGTGGCTAACGCTGACAATGCTGTCATTGTGAAACTGAACAAATCACACACCAGCAGGGGCACACACACTCACAGCTACAGGACTAATGTCACTTCTCTTGATACTATGCCAGACCCCTTTTCCCCACAGACATTGTGCTTACTTTTACATGTACTCTGGTTCACTGGCCTAAAATATGTGCTTAACAAACAAGGAGATGGGGGAGGGGTCAAAAGAGAGAGTCGGTGCGTCGTAGCAGGTCTGTGTTAAGTGATCTGTATTCCATGTGAGTCCACAGTTCCCTAACCCTGTGAAATTAACAACACATCCCTCCTCTGCGACCTCTGACCTCTCACATAATACCACATCCAACCAGCGCCATGCATGAGTGTGTCTGTGTAATGTAAAAGGGACCCAAAATGTCCATGTCAATGTTTTCATTAAACACTGCCTGGAGAGGCAAGGTTCTGCTGCTAAACCAGAGACCACGGCATCCTTTATCCTCTAACCGAAAATAATAGCATTACTCTTTGTGAGAAAAATGGCTTCTTTTTCATCCTTTAATACAAGGGCAACAACAGTGAATATATTCTGCTCAGATAGAGTGGGTGACTCTTAAGGAACCTGTCATATTTCACCCAGATATGTACTAAAACATAAAATAAATATTATTATTATTAAAATAATGTAATAATGTAATATTAATTAAATAAACAAACTCAGTCCTAAAACATGCATGATTTTTCTTTCTTTCTTTCTTTTTTTTCCTTATGATTTTTGAGTCGAATGTATGTAGATGTTTTAGTGATTTTCACCTGAGTACACTGCAATACCTCATTCCCTAGCTGACAAAGCTTCACACACACACACACACACACACACACACACACACACACACACACACA